GGCATCCCCCCCAGCTGCTGCAGGGCTGCTCCCCACCCCGTCCCCTCCCAGGATGCTCCCCAGCAGCAGGAGCCGAATGCCAAGCCAGCTGCCCTCTCCATTGCTTCCCTCTCTGGCACCCCCCAGCCAGGATGCTGGGCTGGGCAACCCAGTGGCAGAGACGTCAGCGATGGAAGGGGGAACATTTCCCAATAACCTCGTGTCCCACCTTCACCAGTGACATCTCCTCCTGGCCCCCAGCTTGCCCCCCCTGCTCCGCCATCTCGCCTTGCCGGGCAGTGGGAGGATGCAGGGGCCGGCTGCCCCCGGAGCAGAAGACCACGTCTCCATGAAGGCTTGGCCCGAAAGCCCCTGGCACAGGGCGGGCCTGGCCTGATCCTGCCAGGCACGGAGCAGTTCTTCAGTGCATTCAAGCTGCCCGTGGTCCTGGTGCAGAGCCGTGCTCCTCTCCCAGCTGGGGTCAGCCAGTCCCTCACCCCCCACCACAGAAATGCCAAATAAAGGCTCTGCAAACACACAGCCCCGCTTCTTGGCCAGAAATGGGGGGAAGAGAGTCAGGGGTACAGCAGCCAGTTTCGGGGTACCAGCAGGGAGAGATGGCTCCCAGCAAGAGAAACTCCATTTTTTTCAGGGCAACTGCAAACAGGGATTTATCATCACGGCCCAGCATTTAGAGAGAGGATGGGGGGGTTGGAGCAGAGCACAGGGGAGCAAAAGGGGTTGGGAGCGGGGGCTAGGGAGCAGCCCCCAGCAAGGAGCATGCTGGAGCGCTGTGCCTCCTGCTGTCATGCATGTGACAGCCACGCTTACAGACATAGGCTTGGGGTTTTGTTTTTCTGTGGGCGTTTTTTCTGTTTTATTTTCATCCTCCAGACTTGTTTTCCTGGAGCAAATTTTGCTGTGCAATTTGAAAGACTGGCCCCAAGGCCATTGCTGCAGGGAACGGCAGAGGGGGGAGCCGGGGAACAGGGGTTTCCCAGCCCTGGCAAAGGTGGGGGGCAAAAGAGGGGAGGGCGAGGGGCTGAGCCCAGTGCCCGTGGGGACATGCAATAGATCCTGGGGTGCCCACGCAAGGGTTGGGTTCCCCGTGTGCTCGCTCTGGCCCCATGGCCACAGCCCTGGCGTCCCTCCCTGTCCCCACACAGAGGCTGCCCCAGGGGAAGCAGCTTTCAGAATAAAACCAGAGAGACTCAGCTACACTTCAGTCCTTAAATAAATACAAAGACATCAATCACCCTCAGCCCGGGCCGTGGCTGCGGCAGGCACCC